TTAACTCTTAAGTTTCTGTTCCTTAGACGATTTCTCTACAATATGCTAGCTTCTAATCTTCCTATCATTTATTGTGTTGCATAATCTGTAGGTCTGAATCGCAGTTTATTCAGAAAATTGTTGAACAGGTTCAGAGAAAACTGAATCGAGTTGTATTGAATGTTCCCTCCTACATAGTTGGAACAGATCATATTGTAAATAAAATTAATTCATGGCTCCAAGATGGAGCTAATGATGTTGGCTTGGTGGTTATCACAGGAATTGGGGGAATTGGTAAGACAACCATTGCCACAATTATTTATAACCAAAACTTCGGCAGATTCCAAGCTAGTAGTTTTCTTGCCAATATCAGAGAAAATTCAGCAGAACCTAAAGGTTTGATTCACTTACAAAGCCAGTTTCTTTCAGATTTGCTGAAGGATCAAAAGATCTATGTACCCAATGTCTATGAAGGAACCTCCAAGATTAAGGATGCTCTATGTTGTAGAAAAGTTCTTGTTGTTCTTGATGATATAGATGACAAGGACCAAGTAAATGCGATAATAGGAATGAGGGAATGGTGTTATCCAGGAAGTAAAATCATCATAACAACTAGATATGAACATCTGCTACAGTTTGATGAGATGTATAAGGAATTCAAGGTTGAAGGATTGCATGATAATGAAGCACTTCAGCTCCTCAGTTGGCATGCCTTTGGGCAGGACAATCCCATTGAATCTTACACGGAGTGCTCAAGAAATATCATGAAGCACTGCCATGGACTTCCATTAGCTCTTCGAGTTTTGGGTTCTTCTCTCAGAGGCAAGAGCATGGATGTGTGGGAAAGTGAGCTGCATAAATTAGAAGTAGTTTTTAATGACAAAGTTCAGAAAGTTCTTAGAATTAGCTATGATTCGCTGCAAGATGATCATGATAAAGATTTATTTCTTGACATTGCTTGTTTCTTTGTTGGGAAGAACAAGGATTATGTGGTTACAATTCTAGAGAACTGTGGGTTTATAACAACTGTTGGAATTAAAAATCTCATTGACAGGAATCTCTTATCAGTTGATGCATTCAACAAATTAAGGATGCATCAATTAATCAAAGAAATGGGTAAGGAAATTGTTCGCGAAGAGTCTCCTAAGAATCCTGGAAAACGGAGCAGACTGTGGCATGATGCAGATGCATTTAATGTATTAAAAGAGAAAATGGTAGGTAACATATTTAGATTTACATGCTTATGTTTATCCACGCCTGTCAGTTAATGATTTCAGTTTGCAAGTAATTCATTTTTACTACGGGTGTCTTTTTTAATTAGGGCACGGAAATTATTGAGAGCCTGAACCTTGACCTGCATAGGTTAAAGGAAATCAACCATTTAAAGACGCTTAGAAATGTAAATTGTACAGAGAGATGTAGTGTTGAAGATTCTACATTAGTTCATAGGAATTCTGCAAAACAGTATTGTTTTAGCCTTTTCACCTGGAAACCAATGAACAAAACGACAGCAAGCTCATTTCCTTCATTTCATGAGCTAGACTTGGAAACTGATGCATTCAGAAATATGCATAGATTAAAACTGCTCCAGCTTAACTATGTGAAGTTTATTGGAGGTTATGAAAATTTTCCTAAAGGTTTAGTATGGCTGTGCTGGCATGGTTTTCCATTGGAATCCTTACCGGCAGAGTTTTATTTGAAGAAGCTAGCTGTTCTTGATATCCGCAATAGTAAGCTCAATCATGACTGGAAAAGGGGCAAGGTATGATGGCAATCACTCTTTCCCCTTTTCTGTCTTTTTCGTGTAATAAAAACTAATTATCATTTTGTTATAGTTTCTAGAAGAATTGAAAATCCTCAATCTCAGTCATTGCCAGAAGCTTGTCAGGACCCCTGATCTTACAGGACTCCCCAATCTTGAGAAATTAAAGTTGAAGTACTGCACATATTTGATTGAGATTGATGACTCAATTGTATGCCTGCAAAGACTTCTATTCTTAAACCTTAAAGGCTGCAAAAATCTCCAGAAACTTTCAAGTAAAGTTGGCATGTTGAGATCTCTTGAAGTAGTCATTCTGAATGGTTGTTCCAGACTTGAAAAGTTGCCTTCAAATTTGGACAAAATGGAATCATTGAAAGTACTTCTTGCAGATGGAACTTCCATAAATCAAGCAATATATTCGTCTCAATCATTGCTTTCAACAATCAAGACCTCTTGGCTATTTCGAAAAAGAATTCCACGATCTCCTAGTTTCTCATTGGCCTCGTTGCCATGTTCTCTTGTAAGCTTAAGTCTTGCAAACTGCAGTTTATCAGATGATGCTATTCCTAATGATCTTAGTTGCCTATCTTGCTTGCAAGATTTAAATCTTGCAGGAAACCCAATCTGCAGGCTACCAGAAAGTATCAGCAGCATCAATACCCTTGTTTCCCTTTTTTTAAATAGGTGTACAGAGCTCCAATCTCTTCCAGAACTCCCATTGAGTCTGAAAACGTTGGGTGTCAGCTGGTGCACATCCTTGAAAAGGATTGTTAATCTACCAAAAATTTCCAGGGATTGCAGATTTGATTTGTTTGGTTGTACAGAACTAATTGAGATTCAAGGCTTGTTCAAGTTAGAGCCGGTGACAGACACAGACATCGATTTCATCACGAAATTGGCCTTGTTCAGTCCGGAAATCATCCACGACATTGAAGTTGATATGTATAATATTCTTACATTTGAAACAAGAAAGGCCCCGGTCCAGGTTTCCTCTCAGATCTTTAAGTTTATAAGACCTCCATTTTGTTGTATTTTATTTTTCTTAAAATTTTTCTGATTCTATCTTCCGGTTTCGCTGGAACAGGTATTGCACGAACATGGTATATCTAGCATTTTCCTGGAAGGGAAGGAAGTTCCTGGTTGGTACAACCATCTAAATACGGGATCTTCCATTTCCTTCGATCTATGTCCACCTTTTGGTCAAAAGTTCAGTGGCTTAAACATTTGCATCGAATACGGACACAAGGATACACTGAATCCTCAAATTCCCCATTATTGTGAAATCTGGGTTGAAACTGAAAGTGATAAGTGGTGCTATGGCCCAAGCTCTTATGGAATCCCTAGACTGAATGAGAATATGTTATGGTTAAGCCATTGGAAGTTTGCGGACAAGTTGAAAGCTGGGGATCAAGTGACTGTCTCAGTAAAAATGAGTCCATTTGAGGCAACCAACTGTGGCATCCACTTCGTATATGAATCAGATGATAAGGGCACTGAAAAGATAGCACAAGACACCTGTCATTGGCACCGGGCTCTTAGTTTCACGCACAGGGGTTTATGTAACTTGCAAGAAAAGTGGGAGGCAGGGGTAGGAATTGATTCATACATTTACTACTACAGTAAGTACACAAGTTCTTCAAGAAAAATTGAAATAAGATGTTAGATCCTTTAGTTCTTTTCTTGATCTGCTTCTGATTCTGTCTCACACTTTGCTCATTTCAGTTTTCTATTTCGGCTGCGTTAATCTTGTTCGTCAGGGGAGATGGAAACATTTGGAAGGCAATAGATAGGTAATAAGACTGGAAATTTTATGTCTGACTTTATGATGACATATCGTGCCACAGCAAAGAAACTCGGATATATTTATCTAATCTGGATTTGCAAGGCAGTGGAGATGATTTTTTTTGGGTTTAAGTTTTTATTTTCTTAAATTGGATAAAATTTTTAATAGATGATATCAATTTAGATTGTAATTATATCTCGAAGGTAGACATGACTGCCCGTGTCTGAAAATGTACATATTTTTTTAATTAAAAAACTTATTTTCAGCAAATGGAATGTTGTAACAATTGAAAAATTATTTCTAAATTTTTCTATTACAAAATAAAAATTATTTTGCGCCCTTATTTAACAACTTTCCTTGCAAAAAATTTTAATTAAAAAGAAATCTTAGATTATAAAATATAAAGACTAATCTTAAATAGAACTCTAAATTAAAATAATACATTCTACATCTTGATATAATAAAATTTAAATGTATTAGAAAGTCACAATTTTTAACCAAATCAAAATTAAATTTACAAATAAATTCTCCGCATATTACTGCCATAGCTTTTGTTTTTTCCTTTCTAATGTTCAAAGATAAGCAAGAGAGAACGAATACTTCGCCGACAGTTCCACTGGGTTTGGTTGCGTACAGGCATCCTTTAACATTCTACTCCCATCATTTCGGCTAATTGAAATCTTATCTTCCAACTCAAATCCCCCAACATAAAATTAGACAGACTTTTTAGTCGAACAATTCTCCCCCTCATCGAGCTAAGAACAATTAGTTTTTAAAAATAAAACTAATTTGTACATGACCAAATTACTAAATATCTCAGCCAAGATCTTTGCTTACAAACCTTTTAATCTCTTTATGAATGGAAGCTAGAGTTAATAAAATTTACCTCACTTTGGTGCCAATACCTGGCAAGGTAACAAAAGAAAGAAAACAGCATAGGAAGCATACTTCCACAACAGCAAAAGTAAGAAGCAAACACCATCCTAGTCAGGCTTAAAAAAGCTAAAAAAGCATAATCTTCATCTGATAGCAAATGCTACAACATCATAATACAAAGTCCCAACAATCTTATTCACTCATAGCCTCGATATAACACACAGGACCTCACTCTCACTGCAAGTCCCACGGTTACTAGTTTTAAAACTTTTACATAAGACAATGTTGCTGTGTGATTTACTTTGTTTTTGCAATGTGGCGGATGAGATCAACAACACGTGAGCTGCAACATCCAGAAACAACCAAATATTCAGCACAGAAAAACAAAACCACAAAAAAAGGTTGAATAGGAGGAGGCTGATATCAATCAATTCAGCAAATTGCATCACCCAAATTTACCTGTAGCCCCACTCGTTGTCATACCAAGCCACAAGCTTCACAAATTTCTCGCTCAGGGCAATTCCGGCTTTCGCATCAAAGATGCTAGATCTGAAATATTTTGCATAAACACCACATTATCATTTTGGGACAAGGTCGACTTCTCTAGAATATGCCCAACACATGCCGAACAAAAACTTCAAATTCCAAAGTAGCAAAGATAGCCACCACACTTTTGGTCAACATATTTCAACATCTCTAATAGATTAGAAGAAAAATACCAACTTCCAACAACTCCATCCATCTTTACCTGCTATCGCCAACAAAGTCTGTGGAGACCAAATCTTCTTCAGTGTATCCCAAAATTCCTTTAAGCTTTCCCTCAGATTCTTCCCTGAAAAACACACAGGCAAATTAATATAAAAACTACAACAGGAAGTTACATAGGAACAAAATTATAGAAGCAATTAGTAGCGAAATAGACTATACGCACTTGATTGCTGCTTTTATTTCATCATAAGTAGCTGCCTTCTCCAACCTTACTGTAAGGTCAACCACTGAAACGTCAACGGTGGGGACACGGAAGGACATGCCTGTCAATTTTCCATTTAACGCAGGGAGCACCTTTCCAACAGCCTTAAAACCAATGGCAAAATAATTAATACCACACAACCACATTATATATAGACAAAATAAACACAAAGCAATATTCATTACAGAAAATTAACTAATCACCTGCATAGGCCTGCCTTTTTTCATTCCATTAAATTGAATTTTGAAAGACATTACAAATTCTCATCTCCATGACAAGCGAAAATAGCTACATGAATTGGTTACAAGATCTTGAAACTTATTTACCTTAGCAGCTCCTGTGCTGCTGGGAATTATGTTAAATGAAGCAGCTCTTCCACCTCTCCAATCTTTGGCTGATGGCCCATCAACAGTTTTTTGAGTGGCTGGTAAAGGAAAAAAAAATGGTTACTACAGGAAGCAAATTCCATCACCAGCTACATAAAATATAAATGAACCTTACCAGTGATAGAGTGAACAGTGGTCATAAGGCCCTCCACAATGCCAAATCTGTCATGAATGACCTGCAAAATCATGAATGTATAATCAAGTGTGTCCCCAAACTAAGTAGTACAAAAGATATGTAAGAGGGAACTTAAAAAAACAAAATGAGATCTCATTTGCAAAATAAATAAATAAGAACCTTAGCCAGGGGAGCAAGGCAGTTAGTAGTGCAGCTAGCATTTGACACAATGTCAAGATCAGCCGTGTATGAATTCTCATTCACACCCACAACGAACATGGGAGCATCCTTGCTGGGTGCAGAGATGATTACTTTCTTAGCACCACCCTGAAAATCAAACAACTTGATTGTCATATCCAATCATGTCTAGGATGCACATGATTTTCGGTAGAGCTGCAAGTGAATTAACCAAAACAATTATATAAAAGCTCAAATTTTCTCAAGAAATGTTTTCTAGGAAGAGTATAACTGGTATTTGAATTTATCTAAACGAGGCAAGATAATCTAAAGGAGATAAAATATTGAACTAACTGCTTCTAAAAGAATCTTTGTAGAAGAATAGTAAAAAGTGTCCACGGAATTTGAAATTCGGAGACTCGGTGAATTTCACCTCAATAATCTAAATAAGCCGTGAGACCAACTGAATTGATCGTGGCTTAAACAAAAACAATGCTGGAAGAAAATTTTTTTCCTGATTCTGGTCCACAGTTACCACATAAGAAACCATATATACCATGTCAACATAATTATTAACATGGAAAGCATGGCGACAGACCTTCAAATGGGCGGCGGCCTTGTCCTTGTCAGTGAAAACCCCAGTTGACTCCACTACGAATTCAGCTCCAGTCTCAGCCCAAGGAATCTCCTCTGGGTTCCTGTCGTTGCATAGAAATACTAATATTGTAATGAAAATCTTCCATTCAAAGAAGAGCTTCTGTAGGCATATGAAGTTTAAAATCTATAAATTTTAGACCGAGTTATTCAAATTCTCAAAACGGAAAAGCAAACAACCTGACACCGAAAACAGTCACGGACTTCTCTCCAAAGAGAAGGGTCTTAGAGTCTTTAACTTTCAACTCGTGATGCTTCCATTGACCATGGACGCTGTCATACTTGAACATGTATGTCTACAGAAAATCCATTATAAATCAGTGAGAATAGCCCCAAGCATGCACTCATGCACAATAAATTCAAAAACAAAAAGGAAAAGAAAACCAAATCTTAACTAAAAAAATCAATTACCATGTAATCAGTGGTG